GAGGGGGTCGGGCCTCTCTCTTTTGTATAGGGGGCACGAGGGCTTCACCGATGCTCGGCACATAACGGTGAGTCGACGGCCATGATGCGGGGCTTATGGCTGACTGCCTGGTTCTGCTGCTTGCTAAAACGCGCTTCAGAAGAAAACCGGCCTTTCTCTCCTCGATCTGTCCCCCCGTAACATTACCCACAATTCATTCTAGGCCTACGGGGTTGAGTTCCAATAATCGTTTCTCACCACCGAATATTCCCTCGCGTATTAATTACGAGGTTCTCCTCATCCCATGGGTATTTAAAATCATGTAAACAGTAAATTTTCACATACAAAGTATGATTAGAGATAGAAGGATAGAAACAATCAGTTTTCTAATTTAATTTTAATATATTTTAATAAAGACAAATAATATTTTAATATTTACAATTTTATTGAAAGAGCAATTTTTAAAAATTACACATTTTTTATTTTAAAATATTAAAATCTTATTTTATTTATGTATAGTTCATTAATTTATGGATAGTTTATTATTACAGGATTTGAAATAATGTGCTTAATAATAATAATTTCAATAAGCAAAAAAACAAATATTAAAAAAATAAATTAAATTTTGTACAAACTTTAATTCTTATGAAAATTATAAAGAAATTAAGAAAATTTTAAAAGCAATAATAATTTTTATTCTGTTATATTCTGAAATAAAGATAATAAAATAGAGGTTTTGAATAGAAATAGAAAAGGAATAGGATTTTGAAATTTGAAATAATATTTTGTTTATATTCTGAAATTCGCTATATTCTGAAAATTCGAAATAAAAAGAATATCGTCCAGAAAAATTTAATTGTTCAAATGATATGTTTCTTAGATATTTTGAGGTTAGGATAGCAATTTGTAATTTCCTAGTTTCGAAAGATTCTCTGTAAGTTTCTTCGTTCTTGCTGTGCAGAAACAACGACAATGGAAAGTTACCGAAGCGCAAGCGCTCGCTCGGCACTTTCCACCAGTACACTTGACTGACTATACAGCTATACGGTATATCGGTAGTAGTAATGCTGACATTGGTAGTGAGCCGTTCGCTATGGTACTCATGGACTGGCAGCGAAGCGAGATCTCCCGACGATATAGACTATACACGAATACACCAGTATCGTTGACTAACACTTACTTGCGAATGATTACACGGCAACACACTATCGCATAACATAGCATGGATGCACGACGGTGTAAGGGTATATTAGATTACAAAGAACGTCCGTTCTCTTACGTCTATGTACATATATGCACACGTATAGCAGAAACAAACCCTTATACGCGATATGTATATATAGCAAAAAAAGTTTTGAAGAAAAAAGCATAATTTTCTTACTTATAATTTTGTACAACGGTTGCAGACAGTAGCAAGAAAAAAATAAAGAAATGTAAAATTAACAGATTGCGACAACAACAGTTATTTCACTAATTCAAAAATTTAAATAGTAAATTTTACAAATTTTGCTTGATATGAAAAAAATTAAAAATTATTATTATAATAATATATTATTGTAAAAAAATACCAATCCTATGATATAGTTTTTTTAATTAAATTTCAACTTGCCGTCGATTCGCGAAACGATTATTTAAGCTCGTAAGCACGGAAGTACAGCGCATGTCGTCGCATTTACAAAATTGTGAAATCGCTCGTTTCGCAACAGCTCCGGCATCCGTCTCGTGATTTTCCTCCACAAGCATAAAAAAACACGTTTATCCCCCTCTACACTTTACAATCGTCCAATCATCGTCCTTTCAGGAGTTCAAAGCATGTAGACTTTTTCAAAATGTTCGTATCCCACAAGGGTTGCAAGAGTCTTCTTACCGCATATGCCCTTTTGTGCGTATTCGAGCCACTTCTGGCGCATGTATATCCGTAGCCGTGACGCGTTGCACACAAACTCCGCCCTGTGTACACATGCCGTCAACCCACACCATTTAATCTTGCTCAGTATAGAGTATGACGGTGTGATCACGTAAAGCGCGCACACGACGGTATCGAAGTTGTATTAGAGCACACAGTGTGTGCCAGCCGTGGTACGGCACCACTGGCGCGCCTCTACCCCGGCTTTAGCATCGATTTCCAGTCGGACGACCCAGCGCG